CCCCAAAACCCCAAAACCCCAAAACCCCAAAACCCCTTCAAATTTACACATGTGGAAACTATTTTATAAAAATTAAAATGCTTGACAATGTGCTCTGATGTTGAATAAAGAGAGAGAGGCCTACTGAAATGCCTGATCAAAAGATTCGTAAGGATCGTAAGAGCAAGAAGAAAAAGGAAGTAGTACTTGAACCCAAAGGTAAGGCAAATTAAACAACAGAAAGCCTGAAATTAACTATCGGGTTTGAATTCAATAAAAGATATTGATGTTCTACAAATTTATAACTTTGAATTTTGCCAAAATGTTACTTAACATTCAAGGTTAAATTAAATTCATAATTTTGTCTAACAAGATTAGTCTTTAGAGAATTCGAAAAGATTGAGAGCAAAATCAAATCAGAAATTTTAAAATTCAAAGTAATTCACAACTTCTAAGTTCCTGTCTACTATCTCCTTTTAGATCCCTTTCGTTTCAATCCTGAACAAAATTTTCACTGAATCCTACAAATTCACTCTCAACCAACGCTTGCTAGTAGAAATATATGAAGAGGCTACCAAAGGATGAAAGATTCCTCTCTCAGATTGATTCTTATTCCGAGCTCTATCAACTCAGTACTTTCTATATAACACCTCACCTATCCAAGCTGACTTAGCTCTTCTTGACTCCTTAAAAATCCTCACATTTTTGATCCTTTATTGCTCTGAGGCTAAAGAAGACAAAGTGGGCTTCTTAATGACCTGCGTTGATCAGTACTCTAAAATTGTCGAAGCTGATCCTAAAGATCTGAGCTCTGACCAGATTGACAGCAGTGGCGTAGCCACTGCTGTCTATTCTTGTGATCACAGAGATCTCTTGGAAGTACTAGCCTCATTCTTAGAGAGCAGTATCATTCCTTTCATAGAGATGTGCCCAGATGAAGGCGACGACAAGAAGTACACTAGGTTCATCAAAAGAGCCACTGATAACAATCAAGTGTATTATGAATATGCTAAATATTTATGCAAGAAATATATCTTTGAGGAGAAAAAGAGAAATAGGAAGTACCAACAGCACCAAAATTATGAACATGAGAATAATACTGAGATAAGCAGGGAAGAATTTATGCAAAGAATTGAGGTTAATAGCTCAATTATTCTTGACTCTCGTGCTATCAGAGGAATGTTTAGTGAGTACTTAGATAAATATTGGAAGAAATCAATGAGCAAATCCAGTAAGGAAAGTAGTCTTTCCAAGAGAAATAATAAAGCTCTTAAGGATCAGAGGGTTGTAAGTAAATAAATATTCAAAAATGTGTATAATTTTTAGAAGTTAAACAAGGAAAACTATCTTAGGAATTCTGATGATAGCAGTAATATCCTTCCAAGTGTAGTTAATCAACAGAACAAAGCACAACTAAAAGATGGATTTTCTCCTATAAATTCTTCAAACAATCCCTTTGATATCTCTGATGATGCCTATCGTAAGTAAATGCTTTTGAACTTTTCAATATCTCTAGTCGACAAACCTCATACAAGCTCTCAGTTAGTTTCCTCATCAAAGATCGATGATCAAGATCGCTCAGGTATAATGCAATTGTAACTTATAGGACTTAATCTATTCACCGATTTTGAAAGAGAAAGAACCGGGTTTAGAGCGGATGATAGTCTCAACTTTCCAAGAAAGACGAACCTCTCAACAGATCATAATATCAGTTCTTCTTATGTTGCAGAAGAAGTTGATGATAAGTCAGAAGTAGATTTTAACCGAATGCTTGAAGAAAAATATGGCAAAGAGCTACTTTACTTCTTTCATCTCTACTTCACAGAATGCATGAATGGGAAAGTTTACAATTGTTCTGAGCAAGATTGAAAGATCCCATATGTTCTCTCTGAAATGAACGATGATGACTTCCTTAATGAAGACATTTCTGAACCAGATATGGTGCCTAGATTGAGCCATTCTTTTAGGATTAGCCATAATTCTCAAAAAGAGATATCTAATGCAGAGGAATATCTTAAGAATGTGATTAAGAAGAACCTCAAGATGCAGGATTTTTCTGACTTTTACAACAATGACACTAACAAAGAGGGTATTCTAAACTCCTATCTTAGATTGCTGGATGTCTATTCTCAACTCAGAATTGAAGTTGATGGTCTAGGAAACCAGATACCAGTGAAAATCTTTCAAACTGATATTTTAAGAGAATTTATGTCTGAAAGAAGAAATGGAGGCGTTTCACTATCTCTCAATATAGAGCTAATGGACATTTTTGATCATAAGAACCTGATCATTCCTATCTATGTAAATTAAGATTTTACCTATAGCTTGATAACTCTCCATATGTCTTTGTAGTGAAGCTAGATTTCGACTCTCCAGTTGTGGATTTATACCACCTTGAAGAGAAAGTTGATGCAGAAGATGAAGGTTTCTTTGTCTTGTAATTATTATAGAAACTCAGACAGATCTCACCAATATTATATTTGATATTCTTGAAAGAGCATATGAAGCCAATAACACTTTCTTTGATCACAAATATTTTAAAGGAGATCGCAAAGCGTAATTTAGTTAAATTTAACGATTTAGTGTTCAGAGTTTACCACAAATGGTAAGATTTTTCCTAAAATTCAAAATCTTCAATATCACCTTAAAAAACTTGATCTTACAGCTAGAAATTCTCTAGCTTCTGTAAATGCCAAAGGATACTAACTCAACTCTGACTCTCCAAACCTTTGAGCCCGTGTCTCACCCAGATATATAGATCAGCTCACTTGAACAAGTGGTGCTTAGACAAGAAGAGACTGAAGAAATAGAGAAAATTGATGAAGAACAGATGAAGCACAAGATTATTGACCGGCTCCTCTCTGTAGTTTTAATTTAAACCTGACCGATAGCTTAAAGTTAATCATAAGTTGCTAAAAATTTGCCATGTCTATTCCTACTGGAAAGCAATATTCAATTCGCTTAATAAAGGTTGGGGTTTTGGGGTTTTGGGGTTTTGGGGTTTTGGGG